GTAAACTAATGGCACTCAGGACTTCCACTTTCGTAACACGATTTATCTTCACTTGTAGTTCAGCAGCTGCACGTGGTTTTTATGGACGAAGTGCAGGTGGTGGTGGTGGTGGTCGATTCAAGAGCTTTTGGAAGTGCTCGGCCCATCCTCCCCTTCCTTCCTCTTCTTTCGTAATTACATTCCCCTCACCATCTTTATTACCTTCATCTATGTTGACCTATTCCCAGATTGCAGTAACCTGGTTATTTGATACAATCTTGTCACGTCTCTCTCTGTCTCTGTCTCTCCTACCTGCAGCCTGTTCTACTTCACCTGTCAGTGTGTCATAGAAGTGTCTTTTGTCTTTCCGTGCACTCTACTTCACTTCTTTGTCCAGTGTAGTGTTTTATACATTGTACTCAGTTCCTCATCTCGTCGTTCATACTTACACTGGTTTATCTGCTGCTTCACCATCCTCCCCCTCCCTGCTCTATCAGCTTCCATGTCTCCATCGAGATACACTCCTTATCTTCTCTCTTCTTCCTTCCCAATACATTCATACAGGTTTCTTTCCATATCTCTTTCAAACAGTCCAAGGGTTTTTCCACATCCAATGCTTCACGGATGTTGCTCAATATCTCCCATTGTTCCTTGATGGTTGACGTGAAGATGTCGTTAGTAGTTTTATCCTTCAGTTCAATTCCTGTTCTGGGTGTTGAACTTCAACTATGGTCCATCACCAACTAATGCGAAGACTTTCAACTTGATCTGGAAGCTTCCTTGCATTAGACAGTGAGTGGTGTGAACCTACATCTACTCCCCTTCCCTGATCTTGTGTCAAGTGGACTGGTTGCGTCTCCACTTTCTTCAGATTGAAGTCAAGTCGATCTGATTTTCAGTGTGTCTGTCTGGTGAAATGAATTCCATGTCACCTTGTGGATATTCTTGTGCTTGAACACACTGCTCCCAATCACCAAATCGTTGGACAGCCAGAAGTCTGCAAACAATTCTCTATTCTCATTCATTTCACTCACTGGCTCTCAACACATGGTTACTTCTCTTCCTCTACTTTCCACTCCCAGTTTAGCATTCATGTCACTCCACCCATTAGAATGAATTCGATGTCACCAACTGAGGTCTTGTACAATGTTGATTGCAGTTGTCTGTAGAATTCCTCCCTCTTCTCCTCATCTGCATTATTTGTAGGTGCGTAGTGTGGTATTGTATGATTGTGACTTCCTTTCCTTCCTCTCGAATTGATTGAATCTTGCTGTCATGATCGTGACCTTGGAGGAGATTGGTTCCCACTGTATGAGAGCCTTCGATACTCTCGGGAACATGATGATGGCCACTCCATAACTCAGTTTGCTTGTGGTTGTTTTCTGGGTGACAATGTCGGAGTAGATTATTGATTCTGCAGTTGTTAGTTTGGAGAGTGCAATTCCATTCTCTCTGCAGATTCCTCGCAGATCCCTATCACTTCTATTCTATATTTTCTCATCTGTTTCTCAATCTGAGCAGCCTTGCTATGTTCAAACATAGTGGGGACATTCCATTTTCCATATGTTTACTTTCGCTTTCATCGGGAGTACGGAAGAGGCACCGGCCAATCGGCTTTCGGAAGGCTCTCACCAACTGGTGTCATTTCGTCTCTCCGATCCTAGCGAAGAATACGTTTGTTTTTTATATTTCCTCTGTGCTTTGAGGTTTTTTTATTGTCTTGATTGATTCTGAGAGGCAGGATCGCTAGCTCACACGCTACCGTACCTCTTTTTCCAGGCCTAGGACCAGCAAGTAAACTAGGAATAGTATTTGACATTTTTTTTCCTTAAAGCAACTCCACACCATGAATTATACTAACGAATTTGTTAACGTCTAAGTACCTTAATATTCTGGTTTTAATTCCTGTATGGTCATGGATACGAACTCTCAAGGAGTTTTATATCATCATGACACAACTCATCAATAGTGCCACATTGTTGAAATCAATAAATTCCCATAAACTAACCTCGAAAATGAGTTATAAAGTTAGTTAAAACCGAAATCAGTCAAATACTAAAGATGAACTCGAACCACATTTCTAAGAACATAATCTTATACGATCTCTCAACAATCAAAATAATCTATTTTTATAACCCACCAAAGTCCCACTAACATATTCATTTGATAAGGTAGTATTCATGAAGAATGGACATCATTTAAAGAAACCCTGAAAAACTGAAAGGACTGAACAGATATTTCCTTTTTAGTATGCAATTCCTAAGTAGTATACACTTATGACCTCACAAAGTATTGAACCTAGAACTTTCAGGTTTTTATGGTAAATGAGTTAAGCACTCAACCACTTAGTTGCTGCTTCAGTCAGTTCACTTTATAGCATGACTATCCATCAAGGTTATTAGTAGGTGATCACTGTCTAATACTCCCACGTTTCCAATGGTTTCCCAACTGATATCACTTCGTAATGAATACTACCTTAGGATTAAATCCCCACTAACTTCAAGACGTATTCGTTTTCCGTCGAGATTTCACACTGAATCATATAACAAAGACAAATGAGGTGCTCAAGAGATGGCATTTTTTCAGAAGTCTCATAGAGAAGTATAGATGTGTCAAATCACATAAGCGTCAAACAAAAGACGAATGGCTGTATACAATATGCTGAGTAAACCAGTGATCTATGCAAAACTTTAACACATACAAGCAGCTTAATTTCAGTACCTTTGCAATTTAATCAGAAACCTGCCTATTCGTTCTTGGAAATAGTTAGGAAAGAATATTGATAAGGAAGGAGATAACTTCCTGAAAGGTTCAGTAATTCTTAATTGCTATGAGCAAGTATTGTGAACTGTATTATGAAATAATAGAGAATATTTGTAGCTAAGGTGGATGTTTTCGGGGACATCACGCGCCAGGCCAGGCCATCGAGTGGAACCTAGATGGGAAACGACGAGTTGGGCGTCCGAGGGTGACATGGAGAAGATCGTGTGAGGAAGAAATGACAGCTACTGGGCTGTCGTGGAGCTAGGTTGAGAAGATTGCAGAGAACAGAGCGCACTGAAGACGTGCTACTGAAGCCCTATGTTCCACTAGGAACCCAAGGGACAAATAATAATAAGGTGCCATGTTCTTTGATGTAGATGGTTTAATCATGCGGATTTTATTGTCTTTGTAGACAAAATCATCAACACTAACTTCAACATATGAAGTGAATTATTAGTAATACACCCTAAGGGATTCAGTAGCTTACCTTGATAAAGTGGTTTCTAATTGGTTATGTCAATTGACTGGATAATTTTTGCTGTTACCTAATTCTCTATCTCACTTCTGTTACAATAATCAAAGGTGCTTACTGATAATGCTATGTAGCAGGAAATTTAAAGCTTCAGAGAATGTAACATAGTCAATAACTATATTGTTTTCATCAGCTTTAAAATCAATCACCCATCAGTGCATAGTATCAACTTTTATAAGATAAAGAGAGTACTGTGAGTAGATTTTCATGCCAATTTTTCAAGGAAGTAGATAGAAAGAGTTTGTTGGAATATACTAGTTTGATACTCTTCAGCAGTATACACTCATGACCCCATCCCACTACGGCTTGAAGTCAGGAACTTCAGATTCCGTCCGTAGCCAGTACGTTACCATTGAGCCATTGGGTCAAAATCTAATGGTCTATATTTTCAACTTCTGTTCTTGATGGGGTTATGAGTGCACACTCCTGAGGAGTCACACATTAGGACGAAACAGCTGTCAAGTGCTGCAGCTGACAAAATATGTTCGAAAAAGAAGTAAGTTTGTTTTTTTATCAGGTTGAAGTGATACATTAAATAAGCGTCTATCACTTTTACGCGTCAATACAAGACTAGAAAGTAACAAGTAAGTCTACTCCACTTTATAGGAAACTTTTCAATCAAGCATTTTTAATTTTACGTTTATGAACACAGTTTAAGTATAGTTAACCTTTTGATACTCAGATAACTATGTATTACTTTGATTGTTGAATCTGTCTGCTTTTTTCCTTCATGTGATTTCAATTCACTTATCTGGTTACATAATCTTGTAACTATTCGATAACATCAATAATTTTAGTAAGGTTTTATGATTTCGTTCTTATAATTATAATTTCTCTATCAAAATATATAAAGTATATTTCATGGGTTTATTCATTAAGAATTGACACTATTTGGAGACTTTGGAGTATGGAACTTCCTCAGCAGTATACACTGATGACCGTGTTAGGGATCGAAATTAAGACTTTTAGGTTTCACATTTAGTTACTGCGTCCATAATTTCCTACTTGTGTCAACTCGCAGTATACTGTAACTATCTAGTCAAGTCTTCAGTTGGCATCCTTTCACTTCTAAATGGTTAACTCTACACGTATCAGCTTCTCATAGGAACTTTGAGAAATCTATCTCAAAGTATATCACTAATGAATACCAAACAGTCAAGTAATTTGAACAAAACATTCTATTCTTCACTTAGCTATGATATACAAAGTGATATGTTATTGTATTTTTGAGATGAATGGGGATTTTTTTAATTTCGAAGTAGTATTCATCATGGACTGATATCAGTTGGAAACCAGTGGAAACTTGGCAGCACTAGACAGCTGTTTCGTCCGACTAGTATGGGACTTTTCAGCAGTACGCACCCACGACCCGGCTAGGGATGGGACTCAGGACCTTTAGGTTTCACGGAAGTGAAGTGGATGCTAACTGAAGACCTTGGGTGATAGTCGCGCTATGTCGTGAATTGACAGAAGTTGGAAATTGTGAACTGCTGGAAACCTACCCAGTGGCTGAGTGGTTAACGCGTTCGCCATGAAACCTGAAGGTCCTGAGTTCGATGCCTTAGGCGGGTCGTGGGTGCGTACTGCTCAGGAGTCCCATACTAGTCGGACAAAACAGCTGTCCAGTGCTCCCAGATTTCCAATAGTCCCCCCAACTGATGTCAGTCCATGATGAATACTACTTCTTATATGTTATTCACAATATGAAGAAGGGTAGTGAACTTACTGTTATACGTCGAGATTTTTTACAATGATCACTTGATTGTTCATTAGATTTATTTGACTGAAAATTTTCATTGGGTAGTAAAAAATCAACCACTTTTGATAAATTTGGTAACAATTGAGAATTTTTTTCTTCTAATAAACTATTTTTTGTATCTTGTTTATTATTATTCACTATATTCTTTTCATTATGATTCGTATTATTTATATTATTATTACGAATTATAATTTCATGTTCAATATTATTGTTGATTTGTTTAAATGAAGCTTTTTTAGATTTTGCGCCATTTTTAATTTCTGAGTGAACAATTTGATCACAACTATCATTTAAATCATTCATAAAAGTTTCTAAATTTTTTAAATCTGATTTATGAATAGTATAAGATTTTAATTGATTATTATTATTATTATTATTATTATTATTATGGAGTTGATTTTTTACTTTAACGTCTATATCTGAGGTGATCTCTTCACTTGATTGTTTTTTCTTCATATCTTCATTATTGTATTCACTTGATATCCATTTCTTTTTAGTAGTAATTAACATTCTATTCGATTTATGACTTCGAGTATCTTTTAATATAAAAGTTGATTTATTTCTTTTCTCTATTATGAAGAAAAAAGACAAACAAATAAAAGAATGTTAAAATTATAAGAAGACAAAATGAAATAAATATATTTGTTGACAGTAATTACACAGTTTTCCTCGAATCAAATCATTATTCAGTGTAAACTCTTATTTTTTCCTAACATATAGGCTCCTGTTCAGATGCTTTGACATTGTCTTCTGTTTCATTTTTATGACAGTTATGAATAGTAACTAGTGGTGGAATCAAAAACGTATGTTTCATCCTCCTCGAGACTCGTCAGTGGCATTTTTATTATAACTCGGTAGATAACGCTTTGGGATTTGAAGAGATCAGTTCTTCATTCTAGTCTTTAAGGGTACAGCATTGCTCTTTGACAGGCAAGTATATCCAGCTAACGAGTCTTAAATAGGATGAAACCCGTGTCCTGGATTCCATCTCTAGCCACTATACACCAATAATGTTTTCTTGTAGATAGGATGATATATTAGGATTGAAGAATTTAGTTACAGATTTGATTGATTTTAGGCTGGTAATTGTCACTGACAGATATTAAGTTGGAGAAGCATGAAGAACCTGGAAGTGGTTTTCCAGTTTACATTAGGGATATGCTTCAAGATGAGATTTCTTGAAGTTTCAATGATAAGAGATGACTTGTGGAATAAACTAAGTCAGATATGCGAACTAGATGGAGGTCACGCTATTTTGCGAACTGACTAAAGTAGGAAATGTTTATACTAATAAATTCTAATCCAGTGACTAAATAGGGGTATGCGCTCTGTGAAGACTAAAGATTTATGGTTCGACCACCTGTAGAATCGTTGATACGCACTGATGAGCAGCTATATACCATGATGAAACATATGTCCGTTGCTCTCAGGTTTCAAATGGTTGAAAATATCTCAGTTTTAACTAGCCAAAACAGAACACACAAGTAATCTGTGTCTGTTAGCTGAAGGCACCCAAAGGGAATGGTTCTAAAAAATACAATCATTGTATTGTTCCTTAAATCTTGAATAACTTATTCCCTACTAGAATATCTTCTTGTATCGATTGATTTACCCACCTTTCATGTTAGCGTGAAGTACAGTGATTTGAGCAGATAAAATATTTCTAAAAGTAGAATTTTGATTTACTCAATCTTCAGAAATATCATGAGTTTAACTTGAGAACAAGTAGGTAAGGAGAAAGAATAAGAGATAAACAAACACTTTACACTTCCCTGATTGTTATGTTTCATATTTTGATGTGAACATCTTGAGACTGATGCAGATACTTAACTGGTATATGCTTTCATTTGTTCTGAAAGCTGGTTGAGACGTGTGTTTCGTCTAATTTAGCTCTCGTCAGCTGAATATACCTGCCTGTAAGTTAACACTAGATATACTCTGTATTCTTACAAGTCATAGAGTGTTTGAAAAGAAATAATTTCAACTTTTCAAACACACGTCTAGTTGAAGCTTCTTCAAGGAAGTAATCGGATCAAATTTCGATGACAAACACTGAAGTTATTTTATTTCTTTTAAACACTCTCCAACTTCTACAAATACAAACTATAAAACTCCAATGTTTCATGTATAAACACACTTTTGTTGGGGTGTGTAAAGATACCAATATTTAGTAATAACGAATAGCAAATTTCAGCGACTAATTTGTTTGAATTCGAACTATCAAAGTTATATGGAAACATCAACATATGAGTCTTCAGTACTAATTTGACTTATCAAAGGTTATTACAGTGTTTACTAATAATGGGACTATGTGATAAAGCTGTGGTTTAGCAGACTTCTGTGACTGATCCATCTATCCAAATCAGCTTAGGACCAAGTATTATTGAGTATCGGTCCGAGTTACCACAGCTTTTATCAGTACATCAAGTAAAAACGAGTGAAGTGGAAGATGGAGAAAAAAAATTCAGTCGAAAGAAATATAAAGTACTAAGAGAGAGAAAGGAAGAGTGGAAAAATGGTGAGATTCAATATACCGCCACTGACTTCGGTGCTGAGCCAAATTGCTAATAGTCAATCTCCAACCACTGGTTTCTCTGGCCCCATCAACCCTAACCATATAGTCTGCATAGCTCTATATCCCTCAAACCAACAGTCAAATACTTCATACATTGGTGCCATGTTTTTATCTGGCTACCCTGAGCCTTTTTCCAGCCGGAACCTACTTCTACCAACATTGTGTGACGAGACAGACGGCGACTAGGCATACGTAACACATGTCCCTGCTAGCCAGCCATCTCAGTCGATGAAAGTTCACAATCGTGTCTACTGACTTACCCATCGCCCTAAAATTCTACACCTATCCCTGACTTCTGCATTACTCATGTGATAACACCACGGAATACGGCTTATACTACGAAGGCAACGGTGGTCAAGCACTTGAAGCCTTCTCATGTCTTCCACCTTCAGTGACCATGTTGCAAAGCCATAGAGTAAAACATAGCGGACGAAGCATAGTACACTCGACCCTCAATAGACAATCAGATTTCACGGTGGCGCCACAGATGGCGTAAGTTTGCAAAAGCCAGCTCAGCCTTTTGTATTCATGCCGAGATTTCGTCAGCCACTGAGCCAACAGAGCTGATCCCACTTCCAGGTGTGTGTGAAGTGTTCAACACACTCAACCATTTCACTCACCATTTATCGTTAGCCAAGCCACCGTTGAAGACAGATCCTGGAACGACAATTTGCATTGGGTGATCAGAAACGCATCCCAAACATTCTCAAATTGCCACTCATAATGTCCTGAAGACTCTGTATATTGTCTGCGTCTTCACCCAGCAGAACAATGTCTTTTGTGTATTCTAGGCCCGTCAAAAATTCTCCTTTGATTAGGTCAATCACTGTATAGTCAAATGATGAGTGGGAGACTACTATAAGAACATCCATGACAAACTAAATTGGGTTGAAGAGAGTGAGCATCCTTGACGGACACCAATCGACGTACACACCCCACCCAACATCTCACCATAGGCTGTAACACATTCTCAAGTGTTTGCATAAAGAGCCTTCATTAAAGTGATGTACTTATTCAACATTCACTTCAATGAGAGACACTGCCGTAGACCTCTCGATCGATGGAGTGAAATGTCGCCTTCAGGTCGAGAAATACAGCTATTGTTGGGTGTCGATAAGCCTGTCTGTGCTTCAGGACCTGATGCAGTGTGAATATTTGGTTGATACACCCGCGGACGGGTCTAAAGCCTTCCTGGTTTTCTCTGGTTTACTGTTCCCGAGCTCCACTCAGACGTCTAATGATTACAGAACCTAGAATCTTAGACACCATGTTCTTCAGGTTGATTTCTGTCTGATTATCACAAGAGGACTTCTCACCTTTATTGAAGACTGTAATTTTCAGTGAGTGAGACTATTTAGAGGGGATTCTATTGCATTCCCACATACTAGTTAACACTCCTGTTAACCGGACTAACAGCACGTACCATCATCCTCGTATACCTCAGGAGTTAGTGCATATGGTCCTGCTACCCTTCCTCATTTCAAGTTACCTACAGCTTTTCGACTTCTATTAATGACACTTGATGATAGTTGAAAGTGAAATGCAAACCTTTTCTCATCAGGATTCGAACTAGTGGCCGATTGGACACTACAAACTGATCCTTGATACCTAACGTCAATCACCGGAGAGTTTGTCTGCTGCAATGTGAATCCTTGATTGATAACTGTTCGTTAATCGTACCATGGATATAAGTGAGTAAATACAACTTCACCTTCGTCAAAGATTTTAAACCATATCACCAACAGTTGGTTCTGAATCAATGACTTTTATCGTCTCATGGATGGCAACCAGGCAGCTTATATCTCCTCACACAACTTACACCAATAATCAGGGAAGTCATGAACTAATGCTACGTTTTGTTCTTACCACCCTGAATCCTACTCCAATCTAATCCGGCTTCCACTAGCATAGTACGTCAACGCAGGCGGCTACTTGTCATGCGCAGTACATGCTCAAGCAGCCTCAGGGGTCACAGTCCCATCAATCGACTTGTCTGTCTTGCCTAATACCCTTCTCCTAACCTCAACAATGCTTACATGGTGATTTCACCAAACGCGAGCAATTCTACAAAGATATTTGTAATTAAAATCCTGTAATCACTTGATTCTTCCTTTTAATGGCCACTTCTCATAACCGTTTCACAAGATTAAGTTTCATATGCAACTTATCATCGAATATAATGTCGAATAAACAAATCTAACACATAATTATACTTTATCGTAACAGCCTGGTTATTCTCTCCTATTAGTCAATTACATAAAACTTGTAACTCTGCTTATAGTGTTCATAAATGAACCACACCTGTTTTAGGCTTTATTTATTCTACGAAAGTGATTCGATTATTAGTAAAAATCTGTGGAAATGATGCAGTTGATTCTAAAAATTGAGAAATTTGATACTTTGTTGTATGAATATGATATGATGGAATTGATACAGTGATCCATGAAAAATACTATTATTATTAGGTAAGTTTTTCTAATTAAGACAATAAGAGACTGATTTTGTATTTCATCTCAAGCGTAATATTTTTTGTGAATAAGAATTATGCAACTAAAAGTGACAGTTATTCAATGAACCATTCATGATCTAAATTCAAGCCATACATACTAAAATATATACATAAGCACATAATTCTCTAACTGCGAACTCATTTTGGCTAAAATTAATGAGTAATAAATACTGAATTAGATTTAATTTTTTAGTACAATATTTCTAAAAAACAAACAAAAATGTTGATCGATCCGACATAAAATTCACGTTCTTCACTTCTAATCGAACCTATGAAATGAGAATGTCTCATTTAAACAAAACAAAAAAACACTTTTATGGTAAACATTTAAAAAAAATGGTATTCATCTTGGTGAGTAGCAGTCGGATCCAGAACGCATGTTTCGTCCCCTTTGGGACTCGTCAGCCGGATGTATCTCCATCACAGTGAGGGATGTTGTTCCCACTGAGACTCGAACCTCCTACCCATTGCTTTAAACACTGAAG